AATGTTAAAAAAAATCTAATGTCATTATTCTAAACTTGTGGGACTCAATGTCATCTAAATTAAAACCTTAATAACTAAAGTGATGTTTGAGTTAAAGTAAAAGGCATAATTTTGTTTTCTAATTTTTTTTCCTTAATACCTTTAAAACCTGTTCAAGTGGCTATTACATGAATACTTTTGTCTAGGAATGAGCAGCGGATATACTGATCCGACCAAACTGATCGAATCGAACCGATCTGTCGCATTTTGGATGGATGCGTGATGATGAACAGACGGTTGTGGATTGATTTTTTCCAATCTGTCTAGTTTTGGACGAATAGCGGATTTGAGATTTTTTTGACCACAACCGAACGATCAAACCACCAGCACCCCTAGTAATTTGTAAGGCTTTGTGTTTTCAATTTGTTTAGATATTCTATTTATATTTTCAATTAAAAAAAAGTTTAAATATTTTGTTGAAAAAGAGTTTTTAACTTGAATATATTTTTTGAATTGAAAAAAATAAATATATTATTTATCTATATTTTTTTATTTTTAAATCTAACTCTAAAAATAGTAAATAAAAAAGATGATATATGCTGACTGGTTTTTATTTTTAAAAACAGATATAAATGTAACAACACAAAGGCATACAATCTCTACTACGGCTCTGTTTATGGTTTTGGTAGTTTGAATTGTTTTTATATTTTAAGAATCACAGATTATAATACTTCATATAATACTTTATGTAGATGAAGCATGCAATGATTGTAATATTCTAAAGTTTCAAACTTTCTTTCTTTGGATGAGGCATACAGTGATTGTAATACTTTTTTGAGTCATTGACTGTAATACTTTTTTTTTTTTTTTTTCAGAAAGTGCACAAGTTAAATTATGTTAAAAATTTCTAAAATTTTAAAACGCCAAACCGATTCGCATCCATCTGCTAATCCGCTCAATCTACATCCGGCAGATTGGCGGACGGATACAGATTGATTTTCTCCAATTTGCCAATCTGACGGACAGGTGGCAAATTGAAAGTTCTATGATCACAACCAACCAGCATCCACCCATACTTTTGTTTTGTTTTTCTTTTAACAATGATTGACAAAGGATTACAATGAAACATGATTCAAGTTTGAGAATTTAATTGTTTCAATCAATTAAAAGATGAGAGGATGAAAGTAAAATTTGATTGAAATTAAAGTGTAAAAGGTGTAATTTATTAAAAAATTAATTACAGAATCATTAAAGTGTATTGAAGTGTTACTCAAAAATTAATTACAAAATTGATAAAGTGTCCAATACGCTTGAGAACGGTATCTACTATAATTAATTGCAAAATTTTCAAAGATATATATTTAATTTCCCGATTTTCTCATTTATTTAATATTTTCCTTTTTCTCACAAATTACGAAGTTCTTTAGAATTTTCTAAAAAAGTCTTCTTTTTTTTTTTTTTTGGTTAAATAAACTAAGAAGTCAAAAAATCCGTTCATCATAGATTCGAAAAGTTGAAGTTATTCAACTTTTTCAATTATAAAAAGGGAAAATCACTAAATGTATTAATTTTTTTAGATTTTACTTAAAAAAAAAAAAAACCTAAAAATGATAACCCAAAACGACCCCTCTAAGTTTGTAAATAATTTAGTAAAGGAAAATGATATGCAAGTCTATTTTGTAAACTCATTAACTCACTTTTTAAATTTAGTGATGTGTTAATAAGATGATTGGTTGATAATTAGAGAATAAATAAAATAGAGAGTTGACTTAAATATTTTCATAGAATGCCACATCATTAGATTTATAAAATAAGTCTAATTTTTAACAATCCTCTTTAGTAAAATCTAGCATTCTCTTATGAATAATGCTGCACTTTTGACTATATGACCATGTTCATATAAATTTGTAACCAGACAAAGTGAAAAAACCTACTCAAATGACAAACGTGATAACTATGACAAATGAATTGTTGTTTTCCTAATGTTAATTGTAACAAACAATAATTAACTATTTCTATTGATTGAAATAGTAATCATGTGGTGTTTTAATTCATTTTTTATTAATTGAAACATTAAAACTCACTATTTTGACTTAAATAATTTCTTCATGATCTGCCTAACATATTCTAACTTTAAATGTGAAAACAATGTCTACAATTCAACGGTTTTAAATAATCGAAAATTTAGATGTGTACAGAGAGAATCGAATACAAAATGTACATATGTAAAGTAAAATATTCACAACTATAAACACAAATATATTCTCAATTATAAATAGTTGTGGCATTGTGGTAAGACTTTGGGGTTTAAGCCTCAAGGTCACAAGTTCAATTCTCTCCCTTGGGCCAATCTCCTGGACGAAGCACTGTTGGTTAGGAGGTTGGACCTCAAGGATGCCTAATCAGCTACTTGGTGTGGGTTTAATGCTCCCCCACTGTGCGAGTCCTGACTTAATCGGAACTTGTCTTGGGAGGTCGGGACAAGCTTCCAGGTTATAGTCTCTTACTCGGAACGAACAACAGGACACCCTGGTGATCTCCTCATGGGGCGCTGCCTTAGACCTGCGGGAGGGTGAGAGGATTTCCCTGTAACAAAAAAAAAAAAATACGTATAATTTTTGTCTCACATTTATATATTATGTAGCGCCCTCAAAATAAACTCATAATTCATACATTCATGATACAAGAAATTGACAATATCAAGAGAATAAAGTGTGCATCTATTTATCAGAGTATTTATCACAAAAGTATTACATGTTGACAACAAAAGTAAATGCCCTACGGGCTTACAACTTTCCAAGCCAAAACTTAGTTACAAAACAAAAGAGAGTACTAACTCATACACATTAAGCTCTCGGCTTGAATTTGCATGTAATACACAAAAAGGTAAACAACAAAAAGGGATCTTCAGCCTCTAAGCCTCCCAAACTATGTCCTTGGAGGTGGCATATCATCTGAACCTGAAAATGATGTTCCATATAGGGTGAGCCAATGCCCAGTAGAGATATACTAAACCAAGTATGAGAAATAACTAAAACAATAGCATTTGATATATGGTTGACACTTATAAACCAACTTACAACACTTTTCAATTCAATATCAAGTACATCCATTTTTCATTTCAGTTTCCCTCACTTATACAGTTTCGATTCATAATTATGGCTCAGAACCTGGCCAAACAATTCAATGAGACTATAACACATATTAAAACACTTCCATACTCACAATTCACATGAGAATATAACTCATATTAAAACACTTTCATATTTCAAGTGATACACAAATTTACTGTATCAATGGAGTCCATCCCTTATCTTCTCCCAAACAGGTTTGAGAGTCCATCCCCTATCTCCTCTCAAACCATGGAGTGCATCCCCTATCTCCTCCCAAACAACATACATATACAATATATTTAAACACTTATCATATACAATGATCAATCAATACACACATTTGCTGTATTATTCCAACCGTTATATACAATGACATATTCAATGTAATTAGTTTCAGTTTTTCCTAATTATCATACAATGTCTACAACAATCAAGAATATCCTCCACCGATAGTCCAAAGCAGTTATCTTTAAATAGATAATAAATTTATCAACAGATAAAATATCGACATTTTCATAGGTGAGTGATTAAATTATCCAGCTATACCATTTACTCTCACAATTTTCCAATTTCATGAATTTCACTTCAATTTCACATTTCTCCAAATTAATTATTCAAATTAATTATTCAACATAACTAGGACATTTTTCCCTTTTTCTCAATATTAGCCCAAAGGCTCAATTTCATCGATTTAACAACAACAATTTCATTTTTCAATGTCTTATACACACATAGGTTTTAACATTTGAAAATCCCCCTTTTATAACCTCAAATCAAACCCTAACTTTCTCAAAATGACTAAGCAACACCATCTAATCAAAATGACCAAAATTTATGTTAAAACTCATAGAATAGAGTAGGTTATCCCTACCTTAATTTTTGGAGCTCAAATGAGAAGAGAGGTGAAATTCAAAGTGCTCCAAATCCACAACATTTCGGATTAAAATATAACCCACACCAAGCTTCACACTTTTAACAAAGGGACTAGGGTAGAAACACACTAGAACTAGATGGATTTGTAGAGAGAAGTGGTGGTTTAGAGAGAGAGGCAGCCGTTTTAGGGTTTTAGAGAAAAAGGAGATGAAAAAGTGAAAAAGAAGAAGCTGCTGCCAACTGATATATTCGAGGCTCGCTCGAGCGAAGGAGTTGTCGCTTGAGCGACCAGACACAAAGAAACCTCGCTCGAGCGTAGAAAGCCTCGCTCGAGCTAACAAATCGAAACTTCAGGTCTGCAACCCAAAAGCATGCTCGAGCGAAGAAAAGCTCGCTCGAGCAAATAAACCCAAAACATAGACCTCGCTCGCTCGAGCGAAGAATTGCAACCTTCAGGTCCAGAATCAGACGCAGATGCAAGCTCGAGCGCAAGACTTCTCACTCGAGCCACCAAACACATCACCCAACTCTCGCTCGAGCGAAGGAGCCCTGACTCGAGCTCGCTCGAGCGACAAAAGTCTTACTCGAGCGAAGACACCAAAATCTAGGCAGCAACCATTTGTTTCAAAACACTCTCAACCTGATACAAACTTGCCCAACACATCCTAAAATTGAAATATAAAGAATTAAAAGACGGAAATGAAATAAATGCAACAATACTCAACCGCAGAACCTAAGTCCAGAATACTGTATATAAAGAGAAAAATCCGAAATCGCTATATATTATGTATCCCATTCTTTCTATGCACGTAGAACAACAATAAAGTCATAAGAATCAATCAACATCGATTTTATTAGTATTTTTATCTTATCCCACATTTTTATTGCACCCCTGCCTACCAAGTAACACTACTTCCAAAGTTTCAACGTAAACCAAATCTGAAACCATACTTTAAACGAAGCCAAAGGCCCCCAATGCACAGGAAGCCACAAACACAACCCAAAAAAAAAATGGGCACTAAATAAAAAAAAAAATAAAGAAAGAAAAGAAAATATTTTCATTTTTTCCTTTTCTTAATAAAATCATAACAAAAGCAATAACAGTCTACAGCAGTAGCAACAGCTACAAAATAACCCAACACAGCCCAATACTCAAAAACCTTATTATTCTCAAACCCATTTGGTTTTTCTTCCAACATTTGAAGAAACCATTTCTTTCCTCCCAAATTCCCACCCACCATAATACATAAACCCATCATAAAAATAAAATAAAAAAATGAAGCCTACAAATCTACTTCAATGAAAACATATTATATATTTTCTTGACTCTCTCCCCTTCCCTTTTTTCTTTCTTTCTCTCCCTTCTTAGTACCTGTAATGAGCAGGCTTGTAAGGACCCTCAATGGGGATACTAATGTAATCAGACTGGTCCTTGCTGAGTTTTGTGAGCCTAGCTCCAAGCTTGCCAAGGTGAAGTGCAGCAACTTTCTCATCAAGGTGTTTGGGCAAAACATATACTTTCTTCTCATACTTACCGGTATTCCTTTCGTTCCATAGCTCAAGCTGAGCAATAACTTGGTTAGTGAACGAGCACGACATCACGAAGCTGGGATGCCCAGTGGCACATCCCAAGTTCATAAGTCGCCCCTCGGCCAACACAATGATCCCTGTCTTGGTATCAGGGAATACCCACCTATCGGTTTGAGGCTTAATTGTGATCTTCTTCACGCCAGGGAATGTCTCGAGTCCTAGCATGTCGATTTCATTGTCAAAGTGACCAATGTTGCAGACAATGGCATTGTTCTTCATCTTTCTCATGTGGTCTACCATGATGATGTCCTTGTTACCGGTGGTGGTGCAAAAGATATCGGCTTCTGAGACAACGTCTTCGAGGGTTAAAACTTGGAGGCCTTCCATGAGGGCTTGAAGAGCACAAATTGGATCGATCTCTGTCACGATCACGCGTGCTCCTGCTTGTTTCATGGCAGCAGCACAGCCCTTGCCCACATCACCATAACCACAGATGACTGCTACCTTGCCAGCAATCATAACATCGGTGGCTCTCATTAGACCATCGGGGAGTGAGTGGCGGCATCCATACAAGTTATCAAACTGTTTCACATAAAGAATAGGTCTTGAATCACACCCAAATCCAAGAATGAAACAGAGATATACAACAATGAAACACAATCAATCAAAGCAATGAAATGCAAGTGATTGGGATAATTCTCAGAAAATGACAAGCCATTCTATTTGGTAATTGAGATGGGATGAATTGAAGAAACAGTTTATAGAAATATATATTGCAATTCACAAGAGACAATAATAGTAAAATCTGATGCATTCAATGAAATGATAGAATCATATTTTTGAATCCTCAGATCCGAAGTAAAATTTTAAAAAGATGGATCAGATCGTAACAAAAAATGCATGATAAAATACGAGTCTTCGATTCCAATTACAATCCAAATTTGTAACTAAAAACTTGAACCTTTTACGAATCAAATACAAAACAAGAGCTTATAAATCCAGATCACATAGCAATTATATGAACACAAAAAATGAATCTATCATTTTCATATCCATCAAACATTCAAATTAGATCCAGTAAAATTAACCCAACTAATCCAGAAGTAGATCAACTGAAATAAAAGCAGGGACTGTAATAGGCATATTTGAATTATACCCACATACATCTATTTAAGTATATATCAAGATCATATATGCACGTTTATATACCTTGCTCTTGGTGACAGAGTCATTGACATTGATAGCAGGGAACAACAAAGTTCCATTTGCTTGCATCTGATAAAGCCTCTTCACACCAGTAGTAGTCTCCTCAGACACACCCATCAATCTCTCCTTCATCTTATGATACTTCTTGGGATCAGTCTTCAACCCATCTATGATCAAACCCAAAACAATCTGTAACTCAGCATTGTCAGTGGAACTAGGATCAGGAAACTTCCCACTCTTCGCATACTCCTCCTCAGCCTTCACACCCTCATGAATGAGAAGTGTAGCATCACCACCATCATCAACAATCAGATCAGGGCCACCGCCAGGCCCCCAATCGAGGGCCCGCTCGGTGCACCACCAATACTCCTGCAACGTCTCTCCCTTCCAGGCAAACACGGCGGCAGAATCACGAGCAATGACTGCTGCCGCGTGATCCTGGGTGGAGAAGATGTTGCAGGAGCACCACCGGACCTCTGCCCCAAGGGCAGTGAGGGTCTCAATGAGGACTGCGGTCTGGATAGTCATGTGGAGGGAGCCCGTAATTCGGGCTCCCTTAAAAGGTTGTGTAGGGCCGAATTCGGTCCTGCAAGACATGAGTCCAGGCATTTCAACCTCCGCGAGATCGATCTCAAGGCGGCCAAAATCTGCCTGGGACATGTCCTTGACCTTATATTCACGGCCACTGGTGGTTTTCTCAACTAGCAAAGCCATGGTTGGAATTTTTTTTCAATGGCAAAATACAATCTCTCTCTGGTGGGTTGGAGAGGGAGTTGTGGGCAGAGAAGAGGGGAGGGAGGGGAGAGATATAAATAGGTTTGAGGGGGTGAGATGGAGGGTCAGGATTGATTGGGGGTGGTGGGAATGAGTAGAGTCAAAAGCATTGAAAGTGTAAATGAGATCTAAATTGAAAGTGTAGATTTAGATCTGACTTCTAGGCCTTGCTTGGTTGGTGGTACATCTGGTAATGGCCCATCAACGTCGGGTTCGGAGGGTCGTGTTGGACCCGCTTCTCTCGAAGTTGATTTGTTATAGGAGCCAAGAAATTATTTTCCCAACTTTATTAAGCTTTTTTTTTTTCTTATTAATTTGAATGTTTGTCTTGGTTTTTTTTTTTTTTAAGGAAAGAGGTAAGTCTTACAAATTTTTCAATGTTAGAATAACCTGAATTTAGACTTCCTTTAGGAACATTTTTTTAACCACTTTTTAGTTTTTTTGCTAAAATATGATACGGAAAAAATAATGAAATATACATATTGCATTATTAATTATAGGATTAAAAAATTGTCAATTTTATTCAATAAAATGTCCATTAAAATCTAATTCGAATAACAAAAATAGTAACTAAACACTAAAATGCAAATCTTGTAAATTAATTATTCCAATTTTATGCTATAATTTGTCCAATCAAACGAACTCTAATTGCGTGAACATAGTATACTAGTACTAATCAGTTTGGTGCCATGAATATCGGTAGGCTGGTGAAGGTTGGGTTAAAAGCATGGAATAAAATTGAAACTAACCATTCTATATTTTTATGGAGGAAAATTATAAACTCTCATTGACTTTTCTCCTTGACTTCTTACTTATTAGGTTATTGGGTTCACTTTTGGACTTAATTTTGATAATTCAAACCGCCACATTTTAAGATTTGTTGAGTATACCATACTTATAAAAAATCAAGTTGATCGGATATCAGAAACTACATGTTCGAATCATCGAACTAAAAACCATTGTTTTAAAAAATTTAATAAACAGTTTTCCGAACATATGCTTTCTGATATCCAATCAACTTAATTTTGTATAGATATGATATATTTAACAAATCTTAAAATGTGAACGATTCAGATTATCAAAATTAGGCCTAAAAGTAGGCCCAATGACCTAACAAGTAGGAAGTCAATGAGAGAATCATCATTAGATGAAGGTTGGGTTAAAAGCATGGAATAAAAATTGAAACTACTATTCTATATTTTTATAGAGGAAACTTATAAATTAGTTGTATTTTTCTAACATAATTACATATTCATAAGAAAGATTTATAATTTTCATAATCAAAATTTGTAAAATTTATCACTAATTTGAATTTCTTTCCCAAACATTCATTGAAATTAATATTAATCACATTTCTACAGAGTTTGAATTTCTTCAATTTAAACCCTAAGTTTTCAAAGTGGTATCAATCTCAGTCATTCATCTATTTCTGTTAGTTTACCTAATAGCATAATAATTTTACAAGACACTTGGCACACTATTACTTGTTCTTTGAAATTAATATTAATCACATAACCACACTAGATTACTTCTCTCAATTCATCAAATCAAAATCATTTGTGACAAAAATTTCAATGCACCTGTCCATATTGAATCCCTCCACTCATCCCATTCCTCTCCCATTTGTTGAGAACATCATTGCCACTCCCAGTTGTGCAAACCCACTCTCTATCTCTGAACCCCATCCCTGGCCACCCATCTGTCAACCCCATCTACGACCACCGATCTCCCCACCTCTTCTTGAGACGGGCTTGATGGGGTTGGGCAGCAGATCTAATGGAGGGAATGGAGAAGGGTAGCAGATTTGAGTGAGGCAGTGGTAAGGGATATAAAATTGTAATAATTAATTTAAAAAAAAAAAAGGAAGTGAAATGACAAAAAAGTCCTCTTTCCGTCAATCATATTTAACTGACAAACGGATCAAATTCTGGGGTTTAATTTGTTATCAAGGTTAAACTTCAAGTTTTTTATATTTATTATTATTTTTTTTGTTGTAATTTTCTCTAAAATAATTCATTAAAAACAAAAGATATAGAAATAAAAAATTATAATTTTTTAAAAAGTGAATTAAACCAAACAATCGTATAATTCATGAACATAATTGTCTTATATATATTTTTTGAAAGAGACATAATTGGGCTTCAAATCAGTGTAAGAAAATTTTGTTAGACTTTTCGTAAAAGAAATGCTATATGTTAGAGAATTTAAAAATTTTATTAGAATTTTTACCAAATGCTTCACGTGAGTATGAGACCTACACTATGTAGGTCTCATGTGGGTCTCACATCCATGCGAGACATTTGGTAAAAAAATTGATAAAACTTTTAGGATCTCTAACATTTTTGTTATTTAATCATAAGCTCAACTGAGAAATTCTACTATACACCCCCTCTTGGCGTGTACCACATGCACTAATTAAGATGTTTGTAATTTTTAAAGGAAAATGCTAGAGGTCCCAAATTTTCTACCAAATAAATGACCAAATGTCTCACATGGGTGTGGGGCCCACAAAATTGCGGACCCCACACCCATGTGAGACATTTGGTCATTTGTTTGGTAACTTTTAGGATCTCTAACATTTTTGTTATTTAATCATAAGCTCAACTGAGAAATTTTACTATACACCCCCTCTTGGCGTGTACCACATGCACTAATTAAGATGTTTGTAATTTTTAAATATGAGTGCTAGTTATGATTTGGTTATACACGTTATTGTGGTGTTAGGTATGACTCATTGTGATATTAATTATGATATTATTTTAATTACAACTCAAAATTTTTTTAATTATATCTTGTGATATTTGGTTGTAACTTGAAAGGAATATAATTTTGATAGTAACTTGATGCCAGATTATAATTAAACAGTAGAAAGAGGTGCCAACAACATGCAATATATTTTAACAAAATTGGTTAGTATTGATTCTCCTCCACACCTATGAGAATTTTTTGTATTATGTTATGCATTACATTGAAAAATGCCTGATCTAAGTCAAAAGGACAACAAAGATATTAATGTTTAACACTAAACACATTTATTTAAATAGATTAATGAGTGGTGCCCATATGTTCATACCATATTCTAGTTAAAATAAGCATTTAATCATGCAATTTTTTTTTTAATGTTTAACACTAAACACATTTATTTAAATAGATTAATGAGTGGTGCCCAAAAAAAAAAAAAAACTAGTGTGACTAAAGAGAAATGATGTTCGTACATAAAAATTATAAATAATAATATAATATATTTGTATCCATTTATTTTATGAAAAGATTCTTTAAATTACTATTTTAAGTAAATTTTAGATGTTTTTGTAATTTACCCTTAAATAAAAAGGCACAAATTTTCAACTGTCTTTGCCTAGCAGCCAGCACTTCAGTGTTGATAATTGATACATCAACCCTTTTGGCTTTATTTAATGGGTAATGATACATTCCACTAAAAGTAGTGCTCTAAAGGACTATTAATGAGTTGATAAACACTTTAAATAAAATAAAATAAAAAAATAAGATACAAGCAGTGGATCCCGTCCACTGTCACATCACTAAAGCACCACTTTTACTGGTCTCAAGCATTATTCAGTGTGTTTGGTTTGAGTTTTTTTAATTAAATTTTTTGAAAATTGAATTTTTTGGTTTTCGTGTTTTTTTGTTTTTAGTGAATATTTTTAAATTTTTAAATATTTTTTTTTTACTTTTTTAAGATACACCTTACTTAGATGTATCTAAAAAGTAAAAAATTTGTGAAAAAATATTTTTAAAAATTAATAAATACATAAAAATACAAAAAATATACTGAATTCTCGTATTTTTTTTGTATTTTTGATATTTAGTGAATTTTTAAAAGGTTTTTTTCAATTTTTTTTTACTTTTTAAGTGTATTTATGTTAGATATGTCTAAAAATAAAAAATAAAAAATTGCTCAAAATATTTAAAAAATTCAGTAAAAACAAAAAAATACGAAAAATAAGAAAGTAGAATTTTCTGAAAAGTATTTTTGAAAAATGATAACCAAACATGCTGATTCTTATTTAATTTTTGTGGGGTTGGTGAGTGAGTGTTTGGTAGGGGAGTTGGCCAAAATCCTTCATCAATAGTATAATAATAAGTCTACACTTCCTATCTTAGGGGTTGTTTAGGGTGTTCTAAATAAGTGTATTTTTTATCTTTTTGGACTAAAAAATTGAGAAAAAAATATAGATATTTGGGTTAACTTTTTGTCTTTTTATGAAAAAATGTGTATTAAAAAATAGTAAAAATTGGTTTGTAAGGGAAAATTAGGATTGAGAGTTGTGCAGTCGTAATTGTTAACTTTTGGTGCATAGTGTTAACTTTTTAACTTTTTAAGTAACTTTTTGACTTTTTGACTTTTTTTTATCTTCCCAAACTTGGCCTTAATGGGAGAATTACATGTTGGTGTATTTTTTTTTTTTTAAATTAATGATAAATTTTATAAATATTAATAATTAAATTTATAATTTTTTTTACTGATTCATAAATATTTTGCCAAATCTTTAAAAAAAATTAGGTTGAGCTGGGGTTAAGCCAGGGCCGGCCATGAGATAAGGTGGGCAATGTCGCTATCTCGGCCCCGAAATTCTGTCTTAAAAAATAGGGCTTTGAAATAATTTGATATTATGGAATGTCTGGTTAATTTTTTTTTAGTCTTAAATTATATTTGATTTATTAAAATAAAGTTGAATAAAGTAATCATTCTATTATAATGTCTATTTTCATGTTTGATTTACTAAAAAAATTACAAACGAAACTATCCTTCACTATTGCAAGAGAATAGTAATTTTGGAGTGTTTTGGGAAGATGGTAAAAAACTGATTTTTGATTTTTTAACAAGTTTTTCCATTTTTTTAGAAAGTGATTTGAGAAGATAGTTAAAAGTTGCTTTTGAATTTTTTGGTTAATATTTATTTATGATGTCACATCACAATAAAATGACCAAACTACCTCACTCAATTTAAAAAATTTACATTTTCATCCATGTATAATCCTATAAGTAATATAAAAGAGT